CATTGAGAGTCCTTCGAAACTCCCCCTTCCTCCCCTCTCCCCTCCCCTCCCCACTTTCCCCATCCCTTCCTGTGAGGATTGGTACTGCAATCAGGATTCTTTTGAGGATTATCGCCCATTTCATGTTCGACAATTTCAACATATTTTTGCGGGTTTCTATTTGTTTTGTTTCAATTTTTCACTCAATTGAGAATGTTAATGATGCCGCCGCGACTCCATGAATTGTCTGTCTGCTTTCTCATGCAATGCCTGATTGCCTTGAATGCCTTCTGTCACTGCCGAAGGTTGTATTGGGTGCTACATACCTTTTTCGTCCCCCAGGAACATACCTCCGGATCATCATTAACATATGCGGACTCCCAAATAAATAGGGTCATGTTTCATGAATGGTAATGGGGTTTATTTTGGGTGGCAGGAGGTAGCACTGCTTACTGTATTTGCGTCTGTCCTCACACAAAGAGGGGGGGGGGGGGAGAGAAGGAAAAAGGAACAAGGTCCAACTTCTCTGAATGCCAAGTTTTGACTCTTTTAAAGTGTTTCTTGGATTTTTTTCCACAACCAAAAAATTGGAAGGATTTGAGCCCTGGTCCCAGTCCCAAGTCCCGTTCCGGTTCCAATCATGGTCCCATGTATTCCCGTGTCTCAGATAAGGTCCAATTCCAGTAGGCTGTCTTAGGTGGATTCCGGTAGGCACCGGTCGGCGTAGGGAATTCAGTACAAATCAGTCGGCCTTTCTGTCAGTCAGTCCCAGTCAGTGGCAAAGTCCCAGGAAAGTCAGAGAAATTTGAGGAAGCGGGAAACATTGGCCGCGGGTTCGGCCTGTGACCAGACGAGGAAGTCGGGAAGCGAAGCATCAGATATATAGGTCCAATTGCTGAGGTCGTCATCACATGTTCATTCACGAATTTCACGTCTGTCGGCAGAAGCGCTGCTGTGCTGCTGTGTCATATGAGCTCCTGTTAGGGTAGTCGACGGCACATGGAACCCTTGCAAGGGGTCTTGAGAGGAACGCGCTGAATGTGTGTGTGTGTGTGTGTGTGTGTGTGTGTGTGTGTGTGTGTGTGTGTGTGTGTGTGTGAGAGAGAGAGAGAGAGAGAGAGAGAGAGAGAGAGAGAGAGAGAG